CCGAGCCGGGCCCTCGCGCCCAGCGTGCAGACCGGCACGCCGAGGCTAGGGAGCGAGCCTGGGGAGTGTTCGGCAGTTAGGCGGGCAGAACGAAACCACAAGATGTGTGAACTGCTCACATCTTTAAGGGTGAACGTTATGATTATATCTCAGGGTGTTATCTTAAAAAGGAAAGTTGCTCTCAGATGGCTGAGTTGGGAAGAAAGAAGTTAGTTTTTAAAACCTCAAGCTTAGGTTACCTGGCGGGATCAGTGCCCGTTTTATTCCTGTCACAGAAGAATGCAGTCAGCCCGGTCCTGAAGTGTGACCACAGGTCTGGGAGGAAAAGAAATCACAGGGTTTGTCTTTGGGACGGGATGAGGGCTGAGAGAGAGGCTTGGCTTTGCCATCTTTTCCAAGGTTTCTGTAAAGAGCGTGAATTGTGCCTTTAAGAAAAAAAGTCAAAGGAACAGAAAACTCAGTCGGCTGATGCTGTTGCTGCTTTCAAAATGACAAGAGTAAGAAAGTTGGGGTTGATGTGACAGGTGGTAGTGGTCATCCTTTCCCGTGTTAATAAAGGGACGCCGTATCTGGACCCCTATTTTGTAAGCAGAAAGTAGCAAGTTATTAGTGGGCCAAAAATCAACTTAGACAGTTACAGGCAGCATTTTTAAGGCTACATTTTGTTACAGTTTTCTTCTGGTGTGTGTGCTCTGAGCCACCAAGTAAAATGTATTTCTTAACCAAAACTGTGGTGGAGGGGGTTGGAGGCAGAAACTGACCTCAGGCAAAGTGGAGCAAGCACTCCTAATCCAAGCCTGCTGTGCATTACAGAGGGAAACCTTGTAGGATTCCAGGGCTACAGTAAGAGCAAGCCACAGGCATAGCCTCTTCTGAAGATGAGCGGCCATAAGGGGACCTTGTAAACTTGGCTCATAGCTGCTCATCAGGAGGGAGCGAGCTGTCTTCTCTGCCAGCAACAAGCTGCTTCCCCAGTCTCTGTTTCACATTTTGAAAACAGAGGAACACCTGGTCTCGGAGAGGTAGGCAGCAGGACCTAACCCCCCTCAGGCTCCCCACCTGCCCTGTATGGATAAGTTGATGTGCAGGATGCGGCCAGGAGGCCTCCCAGATGCCGAGCAGACTCCCCCAGCCTGGAGCCACAGAATGTGGGGCTCCTGCCATCCCGGAGCTGTGGTGGGGGGCCCGAGGCAGGCCCCAGGGTCTCAAGAAGTCCAGGGCGACCACATGGGGAGGGCCCCCCTCCCCCCTGGCACACACCGCCAGGCATGTCCACATTGAGGGGACTCCTTGCTGTGGCTCTTGGCCAGCTCTGGGCACGAGCCTGGAGACAGAAGCGGGTCATAGCACGTCCAGAGTGTGTCGGGGTGAGCTGGACCCAGCACGCTCACTGCACTCTAGCCAGGCCACAGGCCACAGTCCTCAGTGCTCCTTTCCTGCCATATGTCCGCGTGGGCTGGACTTCCTTCATGTGCTCTGACCAGGACCGCTCATCACGGCCGATCGGACGCAGGGCAGCTGTGAGATTCCACGTGTCTCCAGTTCACCCAGACTTTAAAGAGGCGCGAACAGTAAAAGAACACCACTCTTCTCACTGAAAGTTTTTGCCCTGGGAGATAAAATTAGTTTTCATTTTTTAAAGATATGGACTTAACTATTGTTATTTTTCTTGATTTAACACAGAAGTGTGTGGCAACAGGGGCAAGAGTATATGGGGATTTTCTGCATTTTCCACTCAATTTTGCTGAGAACCTAAAACTGTAAAAAAATAAAGTCTGTTAAGAACCCCCCCAAAAATACAGAAGTGTTTCTCAAAAGCCTTAGTTTTAATCCTTAATATGGCCGATACTGTTTTAATTTTTTTTAAATAAAACATTTCAAATCAACTGTACTTCAATTAAAAAGCAAACAAACAAACAACCCATTTAAAATATGGGCAGAAAAACTGAAAAGACATTTTTCCCAAAGAGGAAATGCAGATGGCCAACAAGGACATGAAAAGCTGCCTGACCTCGCCAGTGTCAGGGAAACGCAGGTCAAACTACAGTGAGACACCATCTCACACCTGTCAGGATGGCCATCACCAAAAAGAACACAAATAGCAAATGTTGGCATGGATGTGGAGAAAAGGGAGGCCTTAGACGCCGTTGGTGGGAATGCAAACTGTGCGACCACCATGGGAAACAATATGGAGGTTTTTCAAAAACCTAAAAACAACCACTATGTGGCCCAGCAACTGCACTCCTGGGCATATACCTGAGAAAGACAAAAACATTAATTCAAAAAGACACATACACCCCCTGTTAACAGCAGCACTGTTCCCAATCAGCAGGACAGGCAGGCATCCTAGAGCACATCTGGACAAGTGACGACACAGAAGGTGCAGCACATACATGGGATGGAGCACGGCTCACCCGCAAAAAAAGGAGGATATTTTGCCATTTGTGGCTCTTCATTCACTTTTTTTTTTTTGCAGTTCAAAACCCAGAATTTTATAACAGGCATAAACATTTCCATTGCATCAAAACCAGCAAAATACCCAGAAATAAACTTAACCAAGGAGGCTACCTGTACCCTGGAAACTGTGCAGCACTGACGAAGGAAATTGAAGATGATACAAAGAAATGGAAAGATGTCTTGTGCTCTTGGATTGGAAGAATCAACATTATCAAAATAGTTAACATGGCCACTACTGACAGATGTAACCCACATCGACAAAAGCCCTTAGGGGTCCCCAGTAACTGTTAGAGGTGTACGGCCCGTGAGGCAGAGCTGGGGTCCAATTCCAGAGCTCTGCACGGGCAGCAGCCAGTGGGGTAACACACCTTAAACAAGTTAATCAACAGCCCAGGTAGGCTGGGTGGGAGTGGCACCCCCTCAGAGTCTGGACAGGCAGGGAGCAGGCAGGGCAGCTCTGGGAAGCACAGTGGGGTCCAGCTTGCCGGGGCCCCTGGAGCTGTGGCAGTGAGGGTGATGTGCTGACGGGAGAGGGTGTACACGTCATCGTGGTCTCATAAGTGCACTGGAGGCCTTATGCGGGCAGTATATTGAAAGGCTCCTGGCTGGGACGGAAGTCGGGGTGGAAATGGAGACAGGGAGAGGCTGCTGCAAGCACTCGGGAAAACCCTACGGCTTTGGATTTTTGGGGTGGTGGGTGGGCCCAGGAGCAGGTCAGATGCTGGCTCTTCCGTGGGCCTGCGTGTGTGGCTGTGGACATGTGGCCCCATTGCCCATGAGGACGTCCTGTGGGCCCATGGGGCCAGCCTGCAGGGTGCTGTCTCGAGGGCAGTGCTCAGGGAGCAAGAAGCGATTGGTTGGTAGTCGTGGGGCAGAGCTGGTGTGTCCGACCAGACAGGGAAGGCCCAGCCCAGGACTTTGGGGTCGAAGGGAGGGACGGTGCAGCCAGGGCAAGAGGACTCGGGGTTCCGCAAACGAGTCTGAACTTTCTCTGAGGCTGGCAGGGCGTGAGCGGCCAGCACATTGACAGTAGACCCGTCGGTTGCTGTGTGGAGGCTGGTGTGGGGCCCAAGACCAGGAAGAGGCCGGGGCAGCCCCGCTGCTGAGAGCCCGGCATGGGAAGGGGGCAGGGTGGGCACGCCCCAGCAGGGCCGTCAGCCGACCCGCACAGCTGAGAGGGACTGGCTCCTTCTCGCCCTGTGTCAGGTGGCCTGTGGTGACCGGGAAGGGGGGGCACAGGGGCCCCCTGCCCAGGCCTGTGAGGGGTGCAGCCAGCAAGGCAAGCCCAGGAAGGCGGCCTGAGGAGAGAACCGTCCACTCGTCCGCCCCCAGCCCGACCTGGAGCCTCTGGAGGGAGCTCTGTGCACACCGGCGGCAGTGTGAGCGAGACCCCCGCGCTCCCTGCCCGCTGAGAGCCTGTGCAGCGCGTGCTAGGGGGAAGGGGACGGAGGCGGCCTTTCTGCACAACACAGCTGTGGCTGGCTTTGCCCCGCGTGGTGAGGGTCAGTTCTCCGAGCCCTCTGTCCTGTATCCAGGGGGTACTGGGCTGGTTTCTTTCTGCACTGGGACCAGGACACCTCCGTGGACAGTAGGTCCACAACCTAGACGCTGAGGTAGTGCAGGAGGCCCTCAGCTCGCAGACAGTGGGCGCTCTGCTGCCGAGCACTCCTCTCAGCCCCCTGCGACTGGGCCAGAATTAAAGACCGGCCTGGTGCCAAGGCCGGTGCATCGGGTGTGGAGGCTTGGAGTAACTGAGACGGCCTCCCAGTGAGTGGCGGGTGTCCTGCCGTCAGCATGCCTGCGGGGAGTGGGCGAGGGGCCTGGGGAGCGAGACGGGACGGAGGAGCCGGGGGAAGACGTGTCTCTGTGGGAAGCTGCGGCTCAGTTGCACACGGCTGTCCCCCCAGATCCGAGGAGATCGCATCTCAGAGCTGCCCAGGGGAGAAAGGAGAAGCTTATCCACCAGCTCCCACAGGTCAGAGGTCAGCTACAGTTCCTCTGCATTGTGCACAGGTGGGCACCGTCAGCGTCGGGGACCACAGGCCCTCCTGTCTCCCATGTCTGCCCCTGGCCGGAGTCCCAGGCTGG